GGATACCATGGGGTGGGGGGGGGAGGGGGGATGTGGCAGCCCTGCATCATATATGTGTGTATGTGTGTCCCCCTTAGACCGTAAACCCCCGCAGCCTCCAGGCCCCAGTCCCTTCACAGGGACGGCAGAACCCCTGCAGAACCCTTACAGTCTTACAGGAAGCCTTTATAGTGCCCTTAACTACACGGAGCCCTGGCGAAAGGCGGGCGGGTTCCTATGAGCCCTGGTAGAACCCTTAAGAGAAACTTGTGGGGTGCCCTTATGGGGTGCCCCTTAAGCCTTTAGAGAATTTGAAATCCCCCTTTGTCAAACCCACCCCTGTAGAACTTACTGTAGAAGCTCTAAACGGGAACCCTATCGAAAGGCCACAACAGCCTAGAAATTCCGGTCCTGAAATGCCCTCATGGCACCTCTAAAGGGAACTCCTGCTGAATAGCCTCATAGAAACCTTCAGCCCATTCACAGCACCCCTAGGTGGTGAAAAGGTGAACCCTCCCTAAGCCCTAAGCCCTAAGCCTTAAACCGTAAACCCTAAGCCTTGAAGCCTAAACCCTAAGCCTTAAATCCTAACCCCTAAGCCCTATACCTTAAAACCCTAAGCCCTAAATCCTAAGCCCTAAATCCTAAACCCTAAGCCCTTCTGTTGGGCTCCCCGCCTTGAATTCTTCCTTTGCCCGACCAGGCTCGACTCCATGGGGCTGCACAGGGCCGTCACCTGACCTGTCTTCCTTCCGGTGAAAAGGGTGTTCGGGTTTAGGGTTTAGGGTTTAAGGTTCAGGGGTTCGGGTTTAGGGTTTAGGGCTTAATTTTTAGGGTTTAGGGTTTAGGGTTGAATTTTTAGGGTTTAGGGTTCACGGTTTAGGTATGGCTTCTATTTGGGTGCCCTTAGAGGGCTCCTGTAACGGGTCTTTTAAGCTTCATAATAAAGTTCTAAGGGGTTCTATTGGGGTACTTTCTGGTGTTGAAAGACTATGGGTTTTGTGCTTCCCTGGCTTCGGGGTTCAGGTTTGAAGAAGTTTAGCGTCTCGGCTGTTTGGATGTTCACATATACGCTTTTTCAAGATTTTTCTGAGGTTCAGGAATTTGGGGTTTGGGGTGTAGGGATCAGGTTTCAGAGTATGCAGAACTGTGGGGCGGAGCCTAAGCCCCCAAGCTATGCAGGTTCGAAGATGGACCAGCTTGGGCGGCAGCTCGCAGGTGGCATTGCCGGGGTCCAAAGCCTCGCCCGGCTGAACGCCAAGGCCAGCGCGAAGACTCGCCCAACTACGGTTGATGATATAGATCCTGCATTACCCATAATAATGAATATGCCAGAATTCCCATAGTTTAGGGCCCTTAACGTAATGCAGGATTTATATGATCAACAGTACTGAAGACTGCTACCCCGCTACATCAGATGGGGCAACAAGCAAGAGCTACTGCATCCAAGCGGCATCGATCCCTGCCCCTATTCCTACTCCTAGTGTTGCTCTTACTCCTACTACTCCACTCTTGATCTTACTCCCACTCCTACTCGTTCTCTTTCCTCCTCCTCCTCCTGCTACCACTACTACAATCCGGCGGCGGCTGCGGCTGCTGCCGCCGCTGCTGCTGCTGCAGTTGCTACTATGGCGAAGCTGCCACTCCTCCTCTTTTGCTGCCTGCTGCTGTAGTGTAAAGCGGACTATGGACCACCATGAAGAAGAAGATGATGATGGTGATGACGTAGACTGCCGGTGTGATGTTGATATTTCGTTTGCGGGTCTGCATCTTGCTTGTCAACTGTTTGCATAGTGAGTTGGCTACCCAGAAGCCCATGCCGCAACAGTCGCACGAACATGGCTTCTTGAACGTATACAGTGTACTATATATATATACACACATATATATATATATGTGTGTATATACACATACGTACATACATACATACATACATACATACATACATACATACATACACGCATATATGCATATGTTGGTATGTGTGTTCTCTCCATCTTTGTGACTGTTAGTACTACCACTAGGATTAGGTTGAACAATCCTACCTATAACATGTTATTACTTCTACCATCATTGTGCAGGCACTGGGTGTCTACAAGCACTTCCAGAATGCCTCGAAGCATGTGCACGTGGGCCACGGTCGCCTGCGCCGAGCAGAGCACGAGGTGCTGACAAATCTGGACAAGCCCCCCGGAAAAAAAACACGAAAAGATCTTGTTCTTTTAGTGCTCACAGGATAGCTGATCGGCTGCGGGTAGTACCCTTAATGCCCGTCCTCACCAGCTTTTGAAGAATCCTAAACCCTAAGCTATAATTACCCAAATGAATCCTAAACTATGCCCGAATATACCCTAAACCCTAAACTCCAAAAACAAATTCTATACCCTGACGGACCATAAACCCTGAACCCTCATGAATAGTAATAAGCACCACCCCAAGCGAACCCAAAGCACACGGAGCCCTTATCATTAAGGAAGGCTTGGTAGCATACGAGACTCGATCTGAGGCTGTCTTTGGCCCCGGGATTAGCGTTGAGGGTTTAGGGTTTTTAGGGTTTTTGGGGTTTTTAGGGTTTTAGGGTTTAGGTTTAGCTATCGCAGATTAGCGTTGAGGGTTTAGGGTTGAGGGCTTTCGGGTTTTAGAGTTTAGGTTTAGCGATCGCAGGTCCTAGCTGATGCGACATGAAATAGGGATCTTCAGTAGACAGGTGACCCCACTGCAGACGCTGCATCAACCTGTTTGGGATCCTGTTTGTAGGAGCAAGGAGGTACGTACCTCTAGCCCAGTTTTCTGAAGCTTCCCGTTCCTCCATCACTGTAAGGATTTGGTGGTCCCTGCGCGGAAAGATGGACACGCCGGAGACTCAGAACACAGTAGGAACATGGTCATGCAACCTCCCAGCGGTGCAGCAAAGTCCTATAGCCCTAGTCCACCAAAACTACGTAAACCCTGAACCTGCTTCAAGCTGACGCTTACAACACGTCATAGCAGTTGCTCTCGACCTTTACTCGAAATAGCCATCAAGAGCCCGAAATCTCGAGCCTCCCGAGCTGCAGCTTCCCAAGCTATGGTTTCTGCTTTTGGTCGTTCTTGTCTCGGCGTCGGCGCGTTCTGCTTTGGGCGCTGAAACCTCCGCACGTCTCTCGCTTTTCTAAACGTCGACCTGTCTTTCATCTTTCGTCCTGGCGGTTCTTGCTGTGATAACTTGCGCTCCCAATGAAAAGGGCAGCTTCGAAGCCCGGGCCCTAGTCCCGTGGGCCCATGAGGGGAGACTCTCAGCTCCTACTTAAAATCTCCACTGAAGCCCTACCCTGAGCACTAAACCTACCTACTGAGCCCCCGAAAGGCCCTAAACCCTAAACCCTAAACCTTAAACCCTAAACCCGAAACCGTCTAAATCCTAAACCCGAAACCGTCTAAATCCTAAACCCGAAACCGTCTAAATCCTAAGCCCTAAATGCAGGGGATCCTCGGATGTGTTGACAAGGTATTTCGACGCGGCTGACGAGGAGGTGCGGAGCTTCCAGCCCCTTGGCGCCCACTTTGGATGAGATAAACCCTAAACCCTAAACCCTAAACCGTTAAATTGCAATCTACGATTGGGGTTTAGGGTTGAGGGGTGTAGGGTTTCGGGTTTAAGGTCTAGGGTTTCTGGAACCTGAAGGTCCATGCAAAATGGCCGCTGCTGTTTAAAGAGAGTTCCTGTTAGGGTTGAGGGTGACTACTGATTACTGTGGGTTTGTTGAATCGGCCCGAAACCCGAAACCCTAAACCCTTGTTGCCGATGGCTTGAGGGAGTTGCTGTTCTGCCTCTGGTGTTGGTGTAGGGTCGAGGGTTTACTGTTCCCTCCAACCGTATTGCAATTGTTAAACAACCCATACCCGGGTACTCGAAGTTTCCCTTCTTTGAGCAACAAGACTTCAAGTATGCAGAGCTCCCCAATCTGAGATAAGGCATATGCGATATACTTGGTATGTACACCTTAAACACAAACCCGAAACCCGAAAAGCCCTAAGCCCTAAACCACAAGCCTTATGATGAAACCCGACGAGTTCCCTGCAACAAGCTGGGCGTTTTGAGAGGTCGGGAGTTTCCGAATTAGGGGTGCCTTATCTTGGAGTCCTTTAGCATAAGGATCCTACTATTGAGCGTACTATATTGGGGTCCCCTATTTTCGGAAACACCCAGGTATCGTGTATTGACTAAGCGGCTCTTTGGAGTCTCTAGCAACCTCACCGGTGGGCACCACCCTTAGACCCAACAACTCCTACAGGTTGAGAGTTTAATCTAGGGGCCTTAATCATTGCCTATACTCTTCTGGGGGGTTCCTTGTCATAACTATAGCCAAAATATACCTCCAAAACCCAAACCCTAAACCCCAAACCCTAAACCCCAAACCCTGAACCCTATAAGCCCTATACCCCCAAGACCCTGCTCTAATGATTAAAGCCCCCACCTTGGGTGTGTCGAGCTCAGGGCTGCAGCCTCTACTTCTAGGATCTGAAAGCTTATAAGGGTGTGGTTTAGGGTTTAGGGTT